TAAAATCAGATAGGCAGCTTTTTAAACATGCTCTTTATAACATCTGAAATATCTGAATAATGTCTGAAAGAAAAAAGATAGGAGACAAAATTGTGACAAACCGTACTGCAGGTCTTCTGTTGACATAATTAAATATCCATATATTATCAAAAAACCAAAATTTTCTACGACAAAAGGAAATAATGTCACATCCAAGACAGATTCGCTTTAGAGTGGAATCCATTTCCAATGGACATACAGGTATAAATAACTTTAAGAATGTCTTACACAATTACCAGCATGTAATTCCATCTGTTGTATGCTAACCAAGTTTAGACCTGATCTGTAATCTGCTTTAAAAGGATGAATTTCTTGATAAAATTAGTTACTGGCAGAATAAACAAGATAAAAGGTCTTTAACTGTGAATGATTTTACTAGAAACAAAAAATTGAATTGTGTAGTGAGAGAGGATATCATCTTTTGTTCTAAATGTCCTTACTGAAGAGGAAATACAGAAGGACAGAAAATATAGTATAAACCTTTTATTGACTCATTCAACAACAAACACGATAAATCAGCAATGAGGAACTTTACAGTCAGACATACTAATGAGAGGAATTAAAAATACACACTATTGTGAATGAAATAAATACTAGCAATGTCACAGGTTTGGTATTAGAACCAGTTGAAATTGTCAAAACCAGTGCAGAACAAACAGAAGTATTCAGTGGACATTTCTGCATAACGTAATCACATTCTTGTTATGAACGTGGCATGCTTTGTAATATGCACCTGCTTTATAACATGTAAATAACTTCTAATGCATTTCTCCTTTAAGTCTGAAAACAATTTATTAGTGGAGTGCCTGAGCAATTAATGTTGCGTTAAAGAAAATAAAGAATATTAAGGAAGTATTAAAAATGCGCTCAGAGCTAAGGTTGTGCTAGCATTCAAATTACATGAAAAATAGTTTGCAGAATAAAATTCCATCTATCCCGGAATCAGTAGCAGGTAAGATAACTGAAGTCCTGATATTGATGTAATCAATACAAATAATGATCGTGTAATTAGTGCCAATGAGCATATCAAATTTATTAGCCTTCTGGGTGAGAGCCTATGATTGATATGACTGATAGAGGTAACTGCATTGACATACATCCACAGAAGCAACAGACACTCAGCAGCTCATCAATCTAATTAAGTGATTAGTGTTACACAAAATCAGTGTAATAGATAATAATTAATTAAAAACCAGCTGAAGGATAGGTCTCCAAAAGTGACTATAAACAGCAAATACTTCTCCCTCGCGTAAATCACGAGCAGTTCGTAGAGCTCTGATCTTTTTCAAGAGATTTTTTTCCAAAATATCTCTGGACTCTCAAGGATCGCGCTGCCCACCCCAGAACCCTTGGAAAGCTGTCCAGTGCTGTTCCAGCTGCTTGGGTCCCTGCTGGGAGCTGGCACAGGCTGGTTGCTGACAGAACACATCACCACGTCAGCACCAGCTCTCAGATTGCGTCGGCATCCCGAGAGCCAGGTGCCACTCTCACATGAAGTAGAATGATTTCCAAACACACCCTTGGCACTCTTGCCTTGGGGAATCAAGCCCCATATATTGAAAAATGATGTCCTCTACTACTACATAAATTTATGAGTGATCTGAAGGAATATTTAACGGCACGACTAGTAAAATTGCAGATGACTTAAAATGCATAGAGCACTAAATAATGCAAAGAAAAAACACTTTTTCTATAGGGAATTTGACATCCTTTAGTAAGCCAGGATTATTTGAACATGCTTTTTGAGACAGCTGTATGAAAGGTCATTCAGAAGGAACAAAGAATGTAGGTCACATTTAGAAGTCTGGAGACCGTGTCTTGGAAAGCAGTGGCTCTAACTAGGATTTAGGGGTCACAGTGGTTAGCCAGATAAGAGACGTTCCCAGAACAATGTTCCAAGGCAGTTGGCACAGCCTGAAGAGATAGACACATTGGGTGGTGACATAACTGTATCCAATTCCACTGTGTCCAATTCCTTCAAAGCAGTGCTTAAAAGTTAGAAATGCTCAGAAGAGTCCTGCTAGAATGCCATGGGATCTGAAAAACCCGACTGTTAAGAAAGACAGAGATAGGAAGTCCAAGTTCCTAACTCTATCCAAACGAAGGTTAAGAAGACAATTCCACGTTAGAAAAACAGTACGTTTATTTAACGGAATGACAGCGTGACTGTTGAAGCAATCTGTGTCATCTTTGCTTCTGTTTACGATTGCATCGTTCTATGTAAGCTATAGGCAAAAACACGAAACAAAAAGGAGAAGCATCTCTCAAAGTTCTTTGAAACACAAAACACACTAAGAATGTGCAATGGAGGGAAGCAGACCATGAGGTGTTGTATTGTGTCTTTGTGTTAAACATGACACTGCAAATAGATGAAATACAACACATTTTAATTGCCTGTTAGATTTATACGTCAGTATTTATTTATACTGAGTTCTTTTATTTTAACCTTTGCATACTTTTCAAAACTTATTTTAATGTGTAATGTAATCAGAGTGAGGATCTTTCTTGAACATCTGTGAAGTATTTTGCACACTTAGGTTAGGCATAAATAATACATGTCAGAGAGAAGTAAACACCAACGGGATAAATAAATGATGTATGTGAACACAGGGCACAATAGCTGGAAGTAATGAAGTGAAACATAAGAAATTTTCCATTAACCTGATTGTCAGAAAAAAAAAAATAATAATCTTGTAATTGGAGGAATTCCACTTAGAAGAGATGTCTCCTTTGGGAAGCAGAAGCCCCATTACCTGCAACAGTGTCAGACAAATCAGCACTGAACAATGTTAAAGAACAGCCTTTTGTCAAGACTGTGACAGTCTTTTCCATCAGTAATCTTTGCAATCTCCTGTTTCTTCTTATCATTTAAGACCACCATGAATATTTTATCTGATTGTTGACCTACAAAAGCAGTGGTTTTAAGGATATAATTTTAATGTGAGATTACCAGAATACTTAAAAAAAATATTTTCCAATCAAATACACTAACGTTTACCAGTATCGCTGAACCTGTTACATTGAAACACAAATCAAGAGAGTTTCAGGGCAATAGACAAAAAGCAATATAGCTGGTGAAATATGCAGTGTGGAGGTGCTCAGCTATTGGGAACTTGGGTCTGAAAAATGACCTCAGTCGTTTTAGTTAAGTGTCCTAGTGCCCCATGGGCTGTGTGGGGAGGATCAAGTGCCAGGATGCACAAAAACAAAGCAAGGTGGTAGGAGAGTGCTGAGGACAGAGCTGTACGATCAGTTCTGAATCGCTTTGGTGTGCAGGAATTTTTCAAGCAAAGGTGTTTCTGAGGGTTTCAGGTTCTCATCTATCTTTCAAAAACAGACAGAGAGACAGAGCACCAACGAATTTTTCTCCATCAGGAAATCTCCTGTCTCCCAAGAGCCTGACTATTGTTCTAGGGGAACTTGGAAGAAGAGGAATGCTCCATTGTCTGCTTCTTTTGAGCCTTTACAGTTTTTTATAGGCTGAAGGTGGCGTTGACCCAAAGAGAAAGGTGAAGTGGGAGCCTCTGTTGTGATCAAAGACCTTCAATGGGAGCAGGGCACCTGGGCTGATTACCCATCCACTGATTTTTTTCTGGATTTATGGATATAAGACACAGCAAATGTCTCCAATACAGCCACACAAAGCCATCTTTTGTCCTTCCCAACTGAGTGCCATAACCACTAGGTTGCAGACTAATTCCCTCTCTCTGGTCTAATGCATTTTTAATTCTTTCAGAGTGCAAAGCAGCTTGAACAGAAGGGACAGACAGTGTTTTGTTTCCTTTCACGTCCCCCTGGACTATGTGTTGTTTACCTGGAAAGCAAAAAAGAGTTAAATTGCACAGAGGAAAGCAAACCAGGCCCTTCACCTTGAGAATATTTTAACCTGGGAGGGTCAGACTGGATGTTAGGAAAAGGCTCCTCACCAGAGAGTAGTGGGCAAGGAACAGGCTCCACAGGGCAGTGGTCATGGCCTCCAGCTGACAGAGTTCAAGGAGTTTGGACAGCACGGTCAGAAATACAGCTTAATTTTTAGGTAGCCTTGTGTGGAGTCAGGTACTGGACACCATGAGCCTTGCAGGTCCCTTCCAGCTCAGGATATTCTATAAGACTATTCAGTATGAACATCAAGAATACTCAAGTCTTTGTGGGGAAAGCATCAATTATAACTGCTCATCCAAAACTGAATTTCTGTGTGAGTTGGTTTCACGTACGTGGTCCAAGACCTGAGGGGATCAGGCATAAGGGACACTCAGTCAGATGAAGTCTAAGACACCGTTGGGCAAAAACATCCTCTGGGAAACTTAAGCATCGGAACTGCAGGATCTGCAGAGGTGACCTGAGGAGGTCCTCTGGGATCAGCCAGCAAAGACGCAAATAGCGCGAGGAAGCCTGGCTCCAAAGTTAGTGCCCAAAGTCCGCACCAATCCGCCCTGGAGCACACAGGTCCTGGTCGCAGGGCTCCAGTGACTGCGTGGGCTCTCAGCACTTTGGGATCAGGCAAACCTTCCGGAGGTGCCCATGAGGGGACACGGCTCTCACTCCTCGAGCTCCCCGGGCACAAATCACCTCAGATCGGGCGTGTAAGCAAGCGCCTCAGCGAGGCCCGTCCAGCCCCGCAGCGCCCGGGGAAGGGAGGGAGGGAGGGAGGGATTGAGAGAGAGGGGGAGAGGACGGCGGTGCCGCCCTCTGGAGAGAGCGCCGGGAGAGGCTGGTGTGAAGAGCCGCATTTCAATGAGGGCCGGGCTAATGCAAATCACTGCAATCGGCAGCAGCAGCAGAAAGGCGAAGCAGCTGCAGCCCGGGCTCCCCAGCAGCGCTCTCCAGCCGGGGGAGGTGTAACAAAGGCATCCGAGCCGCTTTCTGCGGCAGCTCCTGCGATCGCAGCGGGGGGGGCGGGGGGGGGGGGGGGAGCTGCCGCCCCTCAGCCGCTTCCCAGCTCGGCCCGCCGCCGCCGCCGCCGCCTTCCCAGCTCGCCCCGCCGGCAGCTCCGAGGGAGAGAGGCTTTCGCCGGGCTGCGGACAGCAGGTAAGGGCCGGGGGCTGCAGCGGGGCGGCCGTCGGGGCGCGGCCGTCGGTCGGGCACCCGCCGCGGCGCGGTGCACCTGTGCCCATTGTGTGGGGCGGCGGCCTCCGCTCGTTGCGGCGGGGCTCTCGGCTTCGCGGGCGGCGGCGCTGGGGAGCGCGGCAGGTGCTGCCCGGCGCTGGGGCGGCGCGGCCGGCGGCGGTTGTGTCAGCGGGGGCTGACGTTGCGGCAGGGCTGGGTGTTCCGTGCCTCTCACGAGGCTTCCTCAGCGCGTTTCAGACGCGTTTCCCTAGCGCTGCGGGGCATCTGTAGTTGTTCAGCTGCTACCGCTTGTGTCCGTGTGTATCTGCCTGTATGTATCTTCCTTTTTGCGGTCGCTCTCTCCTCGACTTTGAGGGGATGGTTGGCGGGTCCCCGGTCGGCCACATCGGAGCGTGATGTGCGTTCCGCCGTGTGACACCACGGATGGGAGCTCCCACACCTGCATTGGGTGCCGCTGTGGCTCAGTGCTGGGCACGGCGGTGTGCTCGGGTGTGTCCCTCTGTTCCCGTACAGCCGTCTGTCTGTACGCGTGTGTGTGCGAGCACAGCGCCGAGACATCGGAGCCGATTATTTAGAATTTCTTTGTCTGCTCCGACCTTGTGGCTTGCGCACGCTTTGCCGTAATTAGCAGCGCCGAGTCGTTCCAGGAGCACGATTTCTGTTCTAAAGGACGTAATTGGGAATTACAGCCATTATCGATTAAAGCATAAGCGTGCCGAAGGAAGGGCAGCGGCTCACACTTCTCTCCCCCATGTCCCCTAATAATTCGAGCTGAGAGCCTTTTGAAAAGCCATATCTTGGTGTAACTTATTTTTCCTTCTATTTTGTGCGTGTGTGAGATGAATTGAGCAAATGAAACAGCAGCCCTAAGGAAAATCCGTTTCTCCTATCATTGCCGTTGCTTCCCAGATACAGGTTTTGAATTGTGAGTTCTGAGATCGTATCCGTCTGACTAACAGCTTCTTGCTGCCATTAAAAATGGAATAAAACAACCTAAAAACGTCATAGCATGTAGTCACAATCCTAAGTTGTGGCCATTAAATCATATTTAGTATTTAACTCAGGGAACTGTCAATGGGATGTCAATGAAATTCCTTGTCCTGTGAGTTGGACTGGTGCTTATGTACTGATGAGGAGAATTATTTTCCTGCCTATATATATATATATATTCATATTTATATCTGTATGGTTTTGTGTTTGTGCGTATATGTACATGTATGTATATATATGCACATACACCACACAGTAAATTTTTTCACGTGCACATTTTATGTACATGCATGCATACATATAGTGTGTGTATGTGTGTATATACAAACATGCACTATTGGCAGCTTTAAAAGTGTTGCAAGTATAAATCTTGCCCTTGTACACGAGCACGTGATGCAGTGTGTATGTAGCAGGGTGCGTGATAAGCTGTCCCCAGCCAGGGTAAGTGATTTTCAAGACCCTGTGCTCACAGTGGTTGCTTTAGGTGCTGGCTCTGGTCGAGCACGTGAACAGCTCAGAGAAGCTGTGGAGCACATTCCCTACAGTTTTTCAGCAACAAAGTCCAGCTCTATGATCCCTGTTTTAGTGCAAGCTTGTGTAAGCTTAGAGCATCTGTAGTTCTTTGTGTTTTCTCTTACTGTTTGCTCTTACTGCTTTGCAGCAGGTCTGGATGTTACTTTTTTTAAAGGACATACAATTATGAGTGGTTTAAACAAAGCTTGGGCTTGCAGATTGGTTTTTTTTTTTTGTTTTCTTTTTACTGGAAATCAATGAGAGAGACCACTTTTAAATTAGGTCTGTGTATCTGCGCAATAAAACTTAGTGTGCTTTGCTGTTCTGCAGGGAACTGCAAATTTAGGTGACTCAAATAAAAGTGTTTCTAACCTAATAATCTTCTGGTTGTTCTAAATTTTGTTTATACTTAAAAATGATTTATGAAGCAGTCTATGTGATTTATGTGCAATTTATAGTATATAGTCTTGTATCACTCATAAAAAAAAGAAAGCAAGTAAATGCCTCCTTGATTTAACTTCTGAAAGAGTAAACTTCCCTTTATGTGAACCTATATTGAACAATTGGGCCCATTTTGGCCAGAACAGAGAGCTCTTTGCCACTGTCAAGCATGGGTGATGCTAATTGCTAGTTTGCTCATCAACACTGAATTTATCACTCCAGTGATAGTCTTCTTGGCAAAAGAAGCTGTTGCCAGCCAGCAACTTGAATACTAGTGTTAGGACTTACACAATATTTTCAAGAAGTATTGTTAAGCAGAGAAGCAGCTTGTCCTTTGAATAATACTAGCTTGGTGACTCCTTCTTTACCTTCTTTCTTTTATTATTATTTTTTTCTTTATTTCATGATGTTTGAGCATTTCTCTTGGTTCGGAGTATGCGAAATGTTTGTACAAAGACCACTGAAATTGTCTTTACTTGTATATCCCTTAGATGGTGGTTGGAATGAGCAAAAACGTTTTAACAGTGGGCTTGACCCACCAAGTCATATTACTAGTATTGGTAGTTCTGATTCTAATCACCAAGCTGCCACGTCAGTTCCTCTGAGGAGCTCTTACTTGTTGCCAAGCACTGGGCAATTACTGTGTTTTGGAGTGACACCTTTTGAGATCATGGGTGGAACAAACAATATAGTGGGGTCGAATGGTCTAGAAGGTAGAGTGGGCTCAAATATCACCTGAATATACGATGAGGAAAAGGTAGAAAGCTGACCCATTTGTTCTTTCCCAGTAGCTCCTCTTTGTCACCTCATTTTCAGAGCTCTTACTGAATAAACTTTTATGATTGTGTACACCTAGCAATTGATTTCCTGAGTGGTGTTTCGGTGGCATATAAAAGCATAACTTATAAACTGGTTTTTATGGCACGTCAGGAGGGCTGTAAAATGAACATGTGAATGTAGCATGGCTTCATTCAAGCATTTTTCTCAGTCTGGGAAGTAGTCATCTGTATCTGTCTTGTGTATAACATGATGTATGAAGGTGAGCTCCCGTAAGATGTGTAAGTTGTCCAACCTCTTTACTTGTATATCCCTTAGATTGAACTTCGAGATGTCGTTTGGGAGAGATATGGAGCTGGAGCATTTTGATGAGCGTGATAAAGCGCAGCGGTATGGCCGAGGGTCCCGGGTAAATGGTTTGCCCAGCCCTACCCACAGTGCCCACTGCAGCTTTTATCGAACCCGTACTCTACAGACCCTGAGTTCTGAGAAGAAAGCCAAGAAAGTTCGTTTCTATCGTAACGGAGACCGGTATTTCAAAGGGATTGTATATGCCATCTCCCCCGACCGCTTTAGATCTTTCGAAGCTCTGCTGGCTGATCTGACCCGAACTCTGTCTGACAATGTGAACCTGCCCCAGGGAGTGAGAACAATCTACACAATCGATGGCTCCAAAAAGATTTCCTCCTTGGACCAGCTAGTAGAAGGTGAGTGATAAGAATTGGAATTGTAAAGTTTCGCTTGAGTCAGTGTTTGTCTAATCTGTTAAGTCTTCTGCAAGTAGGTGATGGAGAAAGGATCTGATGGAGAAAGGATCTTCAGTTTTGTAACTAGGACTGTGGATTTTTTACATTGTGCTTTGAAATATACTTGCCTTGCTACTTATTTCTCTCTTGTTGGAAATGTGTAAGCAGCTTTCCCTTTGTTTTTTTTTTTTTTTTAGCCTGCTGTTTATAGCCATAGATCTTGAAGGCCACATCTGCCCCTTCTTCTGAACTTGCACCTTGAAAAATAGCTACGAGAATTTAGTTGTACATGACAAGGTCCATGGTTCCCACTTCTATAAGTTCTGCCAGCGGATATTTTCATCCTTACAGTAAAGTCAACTCTCTAACTTTTCTCTACAAATGAATATGTGGTAAATAAAGTTCCCTTCAGTCATGGTGTGGACAACCTTTTAGAGACTAGTGTTGTAGCTGTGGTTTAGCAGGTGTGGATGATTTAAATAGAGTGAAACAGGACAGGAGGAAAAAGTTCTTTTTTTGTTTTTTTGTTTTCTTTCCTGGTCCATTGATGTCTTAAGTGCTTCTGGCTTGCAGTGGATTTTTTTTCATGTTTGTAGACAGTATCTCTTAGTATAAAACATGAAGATGTGGAAGGCCTGAAAGCATTTAACTGGTATGTAGGCATAATTGAGCTGATGTTTTTATCAGTAAAGTCAAAAGTGCAGGTTCTTGCTGTGTTCAAAGCAAATAAAGCTCAAATAACTGTGGTTTTCTTGTTGCTTCCGTATTGCCTTGGCCTCAGGGTGCCTTGGGCAAACTTTAAAGCTAGTGCATGGACATATAGCTGCTGGGGAGCCAATTTAGAGTTGGAACAGAGTTTGTAATTTCTTCACTATTTTCATCTTTCTCATAGAATGAGAGAACTTGCAGTGTCAGGATGTAATGAAAGGATCAGAACGACACAAATTTGTGAAGGGAAGAAGAAAGGGGTAATGCTGAATAAGATTGCCATCAAAGGAGCAGATCTTCTGGGTAGTGTTCAGTTACTGTTTGGTTGCATTCTTTAGATATCTTAGCAGAGGAAAGCTTCTTAAGCAGAAGTTTTGAGATGAGGGTATACTTGATAATCCTCCCTTCTTAAAAAGCAGAGTAGGGAACAACATGAAGATGATCAAGTGGAAAGCTGGAATATGGGATTGCCTATGTGAGTAAGGGATTTTTGAGTTTAGGACCACAGTTTTAGCAAAATTGAAAGGAAACCAGTCTTAAGATCCATGTTATGAGTTCCAGGGCAGAGTTAGAAATGTATTTGTGAGGGTGGTATCTAATTGGTGGAGAAAATCAATTGCTGGAAGGAAAGACTGATTTTAATCAACATCTGTTTAAAAATAGTATTTGTGTACTGTGCTTATTTGATTCGTTTGCTCATCAAGAAGCAAGTATCACTGATGTTAATGTAGATTTGTACTCTGTTGCCAGTCATAACCAGCTGTTTCAAAAGAAAGAATTGAATTGTGAAATTAATTCAGCAAGTCATTGAGAGCAGCCCTGCCAAGAAGGACTTAGGGGTCCTGGTGGATGAAGAACTCAACATGAACCAGCAGTGCACACTTGCAGCCTGGAAGGCCAAGAGTTATCCTGGGCTGCATCAAAAGAAGGGCGGCCTGCAGAGTGAGGGAGATGATTGTCCCTCTGTACTCTGCCTTTTTGAGGCCCCATCTGGAGTGCTGCGTATCCAGGTCAGGGCCTGCTGGCACAAGAAAGATGTGGTGCTTTTGGAGAGGGTCTGGTGGAGGGCCACAAACATGATCAGAGGGCTGGAGTACCTCCCCTGTGAAGGCAGGCTGAGGGAGCTGGGCTTGTTCAGCTTGGAAAGGAGAAGACTCTGGGGAGACCTTATTGTGGCCCTCCAACTCTTGAAGGGAGCTTATAAACAGGAAGAGATTGTCTTTTTTACATGGTCTGATTGTAATAGGACAAGGACGAATGGTTTTAGACTAAAACAGGAGAGATACAGATTATATGGTAGGGCAAAATTTTTCACTGAAGAGAGTGGTGAGTTGCTGGCACAGGCTGCCCAGTGAAGCTGTGGATGCCCCAACCCTGGAGGTGTTCAAGGCCAGGTTGGATGGGGCCCTGGGCAACCTGATCTAGTGCCTGATTTAGTGGTTGGCAACCCTGTGTGTGGCGGGGGCATTGGAACTCAATGGTCTTTGGCCCTTCCAACCCAAGCCATTCTATGATTTTATGAGCCTATAAAATCGGTTTATTTTGGCATCCTAAAGAATTATACTGTTAGTTATAAATCAGTCAAAATGAATAATGGTACCAATTAAGTTTCATTTTAAAGAAGGGCTTTGGTATTCCTTTGCTCTGTGGGACTTAATTCCTTGTTTTTACAATGAATACATCCTCTCTTCCTTTGCATAGTTCATGTTGGACAGTCTTATTGTGCTGTTGACACTGGAATTTACAGAGTTAATTTTTGCATGTGAGTGATGAGCTGTATCTGTATGCCATCTGAAATAGAGCTTCCTGTCTGTTTGCATGGAAGTGTAAGATGGTTTATTTTGTTCTGATTCCCTCATAAAGCTATACCTCATAGCACAGGTTCACATATTAGCTTGGTGGTGGTTTTTACGGAAGCTACTTCCAATCTACCGTATAAATTTATTAGTTTGGCTAGTCTGGTAAAGCATTAATTAGCTTGAAGCTGTACTTTGTGTTTAAATAGCTGGAAAATTGCTTAATTTTTTCTTCTTCTTGTCAAATGAAATTTGTGCTCAAACTATTCAAATGTTGCTTTCTTCATGATGAGGCTATTCTCTTACTATATGAATTAATTTCATGTGAGTGCTAGGAATTTAAATACCAATCTTTATTTCTTGATGTATTTTAGTGGGTACTGAGTTGGTGTTAGCACTGTAGGGTAAATATGTGAAGTCTTGATTTGGAGATTGACATTTATGCCTGTGAGACAGATACTCTACTTTTACCTTTACCTACCTATGGGAGGGTGAACAAAGAGAAGCTCCTAGGGAGAACAAGTCAGCACCCGCTGCTTCTCATCCTGGAGCTAAATCTATAGAACTGCATGAAGGATGATCCCAAAGGAGCCAAGACTGTGTAAAGGAGCTGTATTGCTTCAGTGGTATTTAGTTCAGTCCTGCATACAACTCTGAAGCGGTATGAGAATGTGTTGTGTGTTATGAGAGTGCTGTATGTTATTCTGAGGTGCATGGACATATCCAACTTTTACTTAAACTAATGACTCTCCGAAGTCTTTTTGTGTGTGTTTGAGCTCTGTTGGACTTTGATTACAAGGGATATCTACTGTTGTAAAAAGTTCTGCGTGCTCTGCAGCTTCTCTCGCCTTAGATGAGGTGAAGAATGTGGACTTAAGGTTTAAACACTAAGGTAAACATTAGGATTAAAATGGATTTAGTTTAACTTCTTTTTGTAAGACCTGATGTTCAGGGCTCTTACCTTTACAAAATGGTTTCAGAATGTAAAATGACTTCACTCTTTAGGTATAGTAAGCAATCAGAGCATGGAAAAACAATAGAATCTAAGCTGCTTTTAAGGCTGAATGATGTAGCTGAAAACAAAGTCTAAGGGAAAGACTGAATTCCTTTGCTTTTCCAGAAGTGTATTGTCCTGAAAGCTGCAAATGGAGGTGCACTGATGGTTCTTTCCCCACGAAATTACCACTGAAGAAGGTAATAAGAACAGTAATAGATGAGTATGAGCAGGATACATTTGAAACATAGAGTATTACTTACAGTTTTTACTCTTGGGGTCCTCCTTTGTGGAACAAAGACCACAGAATCAATCCATAGCTAGAACTGCATCCCTTTCTCATTAATTTTAATTATAATGTTACCTCAGAGCCTTGGGTATGAACCAGAATCAATTGTTTGAAGTTTCCACAATACCTACCACAAAAGATGAAGCCTGCAGCAGAGCACTGGCAAAGACTCACCAAAAAGCCTCAAACCACAAGATAACTGAGAGAGTACAGGGAAACAATAATGTCACATGCCAATATTGGGTGTGCTGCCAAGCTATTGTAAAGATTTGCATGAGTTATGTGCCCTTCTTGCATAGATGTAATTATAAAAATAATTTCAAGTGATAATCTGAAAAACAAAAATGACAGTCTCTTGAAGGTTTATCTTGTGGCTGTGATCCTAATTGAAGGAACAGTTTGAAAGAGCACAAATGTACCTGGTTGGAAATCTGGTAATGGCTGTCACTGGCTGAAGATTCTTAGAAGTTAGAAATCTCAGTGGAGTGGCAGAGAAGGTGATGAATGATGTAAGGTTTGAGGGAAAGGCCCTGGCAGGTAGAGGAGGCAGGCAGTTTGCTTTGATGCTTCAAATGCAGCTTTCCAGCTTCCTGTGGAGGGTTCAAAAAGCAGCATTTCCTAGCTGAGGTAGCTGGCAATGGGAGACTTCCTGCCTGCTTAGGATGTAAGTCTTGTAGCTTTCATTGTTACCTCATTTCTCACATCTCTGCTTTCTGCTCTTATGGCTGTTGCTGCTGCCACCTCATTAACTCTGCTGCCTGCTTCCAGCAGTGCTGGTGAGAAGCCCAGCCTGGTCATTCTGTAGGAGCTGACTGACCTGATCTGCAATGCACTCTGGAGCTAATCCTGTTTCCTCTTTGCCTGCCTTAGTGGCTGGGAATGAAAGGTTCATGTGCATAGACAATCAAAATAATAATAGTGAATTATCTTTACATGTTTGTAGAGCTGAATTTACGTGGACATTTGTTTGTAAGATTGCATTTATATTGGATATTTGCCATAGACTTGATCCAGGGCTATCAAAATGGGCAAAACTTGGACTGGATCCTGTGGTAGAAATATCTTCAATCCTTACATTGTTTAATAAACAAACAGCTGAATAATCCTGTTCTGGAAATGATAGAGGGTTATTTTGGCACTATTTGATTATTTTATTTCATGAATTTGGGAAGGT